CAGCACCAGCCACCGCTGGAACTCCCGCAGCACGTCGCTCTTCCGAGCGACCGGCATTGCCCATACAAATCGAGTATGGCGATCCTTCAGCAGCAGGAAGTACAGGCTGCCATCCTTGGCAGCTACTCGAAATGGCCCGCACAAGTCAATGTGCACGACAGCCAGCGTCTCCGCTGCGTCCGAGCCCTTGGCAGGGAAGGTGTGCCGCGCCAGCTTTCCTCCGACGCACGAGACATACGGCGGGTCTGCTCCGGTCGACGGCGTGATGTCGAGCCCAACAGCAACTCCATGCTTTGCCGAGCTCTTGATCATGTCGACGTTGACGTCCGCGAGCCTTGCATGCAGCCGATCAGGGGTCGCCTTTGATGCCGAGACGATCGTCCGCATAGCCACCACCTCGGTCGACGGCGACTGTGTCGAGCAGGGGCGAAGGTCGGTGCAGAGGACTCGTCCGGTGTAGCGTGCTTGACCGAGCACCTCCCCGGTCGTAGCAACGAGCAGCATCTCGTCGCCGTCACCCTGCAGCTGCACTCCGCTCTCCTTCAGTTGGCCGGCTGACAGCAGGTTCGCCTGAACACCCGGAACGTAGAGCACGTCGGGGATGAGCACCCGCTTCCCGGCCTCCCCTTGCAGAGCGACAGTTCCACGACCCTCAACAGACTGTAATGCCCCGTTGAACCCACGCACGTGCTTCACTCCGTCGCTAGGCCCCATGTCGACGAAGACCGACTTTCGTCCCCATCAGGTGGTGGGAGCACCCGCTGTCGAGCAGCACCGCCATCGGGTTGGCCTGCACAGCTGCTGCCACCGCCTGGAAGTCCTCGCCAGCCTCCGGTGCTAGCGAGACCGTCGGCTCCACCACGCCGACCATCGAGCACGACGCCTCCTCGTCGCCTCGGCTCTTGCCGCTGGAGCTGTCGACGTCCTTTGTCGAGGACGTCTTCTTCGACGCTTGCTTCTCCTTGCGCGGCTTCTCGACTCGACGGGGGCGACGACTGGTCGATCGACCGTGGCCTTCCTTGTTGTCGTCCTCGTCGCTATCATCGCGGTCGGGGCACTCGAAGGAGAGATGGTCGGGGTCGCCAAAGATCCAGCACTCCCGCCGTCGACCACCACCTCGTCGACCCTTGTCCCGCGTCGACCTCTTCTCGTCGACGTCCTTCGTCGACCGCCCACCTCCGCTACCACCTCCGCCTGGCTTCCCGCGCTGCTCCTGCTGACTATTCGGCTTCGTCGGTGCAGCGTAACTCGCCTGCGGAAGGAACTCCGTGGGCTGCTCTGCCTCGTGCATCGCCTCATCCTGGAGGATGTAGCTGGTAAGGGAGTCCTCGTCGAGGGACTCACGTGTGCCGGGCACCATCGTAAACCTCTTCATTTGGTTGTAGCTGCGCGGCAGGCCCTTGAGGACGTGGGTGATGTAGGACGCCGTCGAGTATTCGGCGCCCGCCATCCTTATCTCAGCTAGGATCCGTCGAGCTCGGTTGCAATAGTCCGTCGCCGACTCCTGCTCGCCCATTCGAATGTGAGTCATCTTCTCCTCTAGCTGTCCGATGTACAGGTCGTCCCTGGCCTGGTACGTCGACATGATGAAGTGCCATGCCTGGTGACCAGCATCCAGTCGCTCTCGACAGCTCCTCAGCGCTAGCTGCACCACTGGCAAGCAGCACCTCAAGATGACCATGAAGGTGAGCAGGTGAGCAAAACGAAACTCCCCGCGTAGCTCAACATCCTCCTCGGGCGGAAAGGGCACGGTGCCATCGGCGAAGCCCTTCAGCCCGGCGACCTCTAGCTGAGGTTCAATCGACTCCCTCCAGGTGATGAGGTCCCGTCGACCTTGCAGCGGTGCGACGACGATCCGGTCCGGCGAGAACTTGAAGTAGCCATACGCCGGTGCAATCCCGCCCGCCGTCACGTGTGTCGTCACCGAGAGCCCTCCACCCCTTCATGGAGGAGAACGGCGTCGAACATCGACGTCGGCACGCGAGCTCCCTGCAGCAGCCGTCGACCGCTGCACTCGCGCCTGGATTCCGTCGACACTACCGTCGACCTTGATCACTCCTCTCTGCCTCGTGCCTTAACTGCCGCTGACTCGTGCACCACCGTCGACCTCGTCGTCGACGCCACCTTCGTTGCGCACCGGTCGAGGAGAAGTAGGACGGGAAGGGTGTTCAGTCGCCCACTGCGACCGGATGCCCAACTCGGCGATCACCAAGGGGATCGTCCCGTACTCGCCATCCGCGTGGCGTCTCCTCGCGTCAGCCAAACGTGCCTCCAAGGTGTCCGCTACACTCGCATCAACTACGAGGCCGACCATGGCGACTATCGCTGCTGCCGGCCTACGAATGACTTAGTAAGTGCAAAAGTCGGCTCCTATCTGAAGGTCGCGTGTTCGCTCCACGCTCACTGCACCATGCGGTGATTTACTCTACAACGGTAGTGAGCTAGACAACAGGGGTTGGCACGAACTACTAGAGGTGATCGTAGCTTTGCTTGGTTCCTTAGTGTTTGCACATTCACGGGAGAAATTGGCAAGAGTTTCCACTAGTAAAGTTGGAATTCCAGAATCAGTCCAACAAGAGATGGCAACAATGACTACATCAGGCACCTAGCAACCCTGCTGCTAGCCTGGTCGACCGCCTGCACAGCTCGGTCGACCGCCTGCCAGCGTTGCGTAGAGGAGCCGCGCCAGCACTGCAGAAAGGCGACCTGCCAACGGAGCAGGTCGACGGCGTGCCAACGCTGCAGCAGAGCGGCTGTCCAGCGTTGCCCCGTAGAACACAGCAGTGTGCACGCTCGCAGGTGTGCGCAAACGATTGGCCCGACTTGCCTCGTTGGGCATTCGTCGGCTGTTGTCTGCGCCTGACGAGCCATATCGACTCCGGGATACCAGCCCGCAGTCGCCTGCGCCATCGCAACCTCGACGACGTTCGCGTGCCTCCGCAGAACTCGTCGAGCAGGTTACCCAGTCGACTCGGCCGACCACCAGGTGCTTCTGGTCGACCACCAGGTCCCTCTGGTCGACCACAACTCCCGTCGAGCTACCCCTTGGTCGACGGACCCCTTCCGTCGACCAGAGCCATCAGCGGTTGTCGCCGAGCTCCCCTCGTCGACCGCTGCTCACTTGTCAGGTCGACGGACTGCTCCGTCGACCTCCCGGTCGAACTGCAGGTCCTGGTCGACGTCCCACCCGTCGCCCAGACCAGTCAGTTGCAGCTGTCGAGCTCCCTAGTCGACAGCAACACCACAGCGGTCCCCTGCAGCTCGACGAAGCCTGTCGAGCAGCTCTCCCACTGTGAACGGTCGGTTGCTACTCCCGTACATCCGACCAAGTCGTCGGCGTTGCCCAAGCGAGGGCGGGACCAACACTCCATTCCTGTTAACAGTAGGTAGAGATAAGGAGGCATGGGGTGAAGGGAATGAGGTGTGTGGGTGGGGGGCATGGGAGCAAGCACCCAGCTCACTGCCTTAGGGGCAGCATCCTCAGGGGTTGTGGCTTGTGGGTGGAATCTGCATGGCGGAGGCACTCGGTGCTCAAGTAACCGATCTGACGTCCAAAGCTTAATGGACACCGTTAGAGTCGACCGGCCGGCGGCTCTGGTTCGCGTCAGGGGTGGGATTTGAGTCTTGGGCCAGATCATGCTTTTCCACTGGCACACCTCGCCCCATAAGCCTCAGCCACTGGGAGTGCTGTTTCTGGAGGGGAATGGGCTGTCTGCTGCTCCTGGTGCTAGTAAGTGGTGGTGAGGAAGTGCATGGCGTGCATTGGCGAGCTGTGGCATGGTGGGAAGTGATGGTTTCTGCTGCTGTCTGCTGCTCCTGGTGCTGGTAAGTGATGGTGGGGAAGTGCATGGTGTGCATTGGCCAGTTGTGGAAGGGTGATGGTGGTGCTGGTGGTGTGGTGGGGATGGTGGTGGTGGTGCGGTGTGGCAGAGGGGTGATGAGAACCTTCTGGGTGGGGTGAGTCGTACGTAGGGGAAGGGGGTTGAAGTGGCCTGAGTATGGCCGGCGAGGGGTAGGGAGGGAGAGGGGGGTTGAAACCCCTGGGTTGGCACGAGCAAGGGGCAGCGGAATCCCCCCCTTCCTGTGCCCTCTTGCTCGCTTCAACCCAGGGTTTTCAAACGCCCTCCCTTGCCTCTCAAAGGCCTTGCTCTGTGACCTTCTACCCCCTTCGCCTCCTTGAGACTCACCTCACCCAAGGGGGTTTCACCATCTCTCTGGCACACCTCACCAGCACTACAACTCCGACCTTGTGAGTGATGGCAGTGGTGGTGATGTGCATTGATGTGCATTGATGTGCACTGATGTGCATTGATGTGCACTGATGTGCATTGATGTGCTCTGATGTGCATTGATGTGCATTAATGTGCATTGATGTGCATTGATGTGCATTCATGTGCACCCATGTGCTTGATGGCATGGTGTGTCATTGCATGTTACAGTGTGGCATGTTACGGTGTGGAATGTTACAGTGTGGTATGTTACAGTGTGGTATGTTACAGTGTGGTATGTTACAATGTGGTATGATACAGTGTGGTATGATACAGCGTGCTATGATACAGTGTGCTATGATACAGTGTGGTATGATACAGTGTGGTATGATACACGTATGATACAGTGTGGTATGATACAGTGTGGTATGATCAAGGGTCAAAATGACGGTCATAGTAAAAATCGGTTTGTTTTTAATGGTGGTTTTTTACGGTCAGTTTGCAAAAATACTGCCGTTTTTTATCGGACTTTTTGTCTGTTTTTTTTTTTTTTTTTTTTTTTTTTCCCAAGAATTTATTGAGACGACCCAGAATGAACAGGACAGACTGAGAAACAAGCCTACAATGGCCTACTACCCTTACTCTACGGTTAACGAGTACCTCACTACTGTAAGTCTACTCCCAATCTATCCTTTCCCCCACTCTACCCTCCTCCCCTCCTCCGCCCCTCCACACAAGCCTGCAATGGGTTAATACCCCTTATTCATTCTCTACCCCCCTCTACACTGTACCCTACTGATCCTCTTCTTCCTCCTCCTCGTCATCCTCCTCCCCACTATCACCATCGCTGATATCCCACGGATCGATGCCCCTTGGGTTCTTGGCGGGTGCCGCCTCCTCACGCCCACTGCTGACCGCCATCAGACCCTCCTCCTCCTCCTCCTCCTCCTCCTCCTCCTCCTCCTCCTCCTCCTCCTCCTCCTCCTCCTCCTCCTCCTCCTCCTCCTCCTCCTCCTCATCCTCCTCCCCCCACTCTGCAGCCTTTCCCTTCCTCACACCCTTGCATGAAACTTTCCCCTTCCCCTTCCCCTTCCCCTTACCCTTCCCCTTCCCCTTACCCTTCCCCTTCCCCTTACCCTTCCTCTTGGAGGACTCTCCCGCTCCCGCCTTCCTCTTCCTGCTCTTCTTCCCAATGCTCCTGAACTCCGCCCAGTCAATTGTGGTACATTCCCCCTCCTCTCCCTCCTCTCCCTCCCCCACTACTTCAGCCCCCTCTTCCTCTTCTTCTGGTGCGACCGGGGGAACGAGGCAGCCGTCCTTGAGGGTGTCGTTGCTCAGGTCACGGTAGAGCTTCTCACGCACAACCTGCCTGCGATCGAAAGCCTCACGGGCCCGCCTGATGAAGGCCACAAAGGTGACGTCAGTCATCTTTGTGGCGGCCAGGCGGTTCCGGTCCCTCCTCTGCACACGAGCAAGGGCGGACCAATAGCGTTCCACCTCGGAAGAGGTGACTGGCTGTGATAGGGTCATCACAGCCAGCTCCTGAAGCGCCCCCCCTCCACCAAAGTCGAGGCTGCCCAACGGGCGTCGTGTGATCCAAGCCGCCCCTCTCCCTTGTGGAACTGGGTCAGCTGAGCGCACAGCAATGCGCGCTTGGCCACGTCCCCACCACGGGCTTGGATTACCTCATCCGCCCCTGCCGTCACCTCCTTGTCATTTCTCACCGCATTCTGGTTGGTTTCGGGGGTTGAGAAGCCACCCCAAAGCATGCAACGAATTGTGTAGCTAACCGTCCCATCTCTTAGCCACGATTGCCTTGATGGTGGCCAAAAAGGACGGCCTGTCCTTTGTGGCCAGCAGGCCGGTGCGCTTGACGAATAGTCCCGCTGTGGAGGGAGAACCCAACGACCATGTTAGTGGCTTATTTGGGATGGGAAGCACGCTAGATAAAGCCAAGATGTGTCAGCTGCTTACCTGCCGCCTCTGCAGCCGCGTTCGTTTTGACTGTAGCCTCTAACATGAGGCCATATATCTGCCCCATGAGTGGAGAGCGTTTGTGAACAGCCCGAAGCACCTCATAGTTTGGAATCATGAGGCGATGGACTGCGCTGGCAAGATCCCAAAACAAATCATCAAGTAGGAGCGTCCGGACTGCTTGCCCCTCCTTCGTCCGTGCCACAGCCACTTGCTCCCACTCCTCGCTAATCACCATCGCCTGAAGCGCCCTCCTTACTTCCAAGAAGCGGCCGACCATTATCACTTGAGTCCCAAAACGCGCTGCACCGGGCCGGACCAACGACAACTTGTTGAAGAGTGTCCGGAAAAGCACAACCGGGGGACGCTGGCCTTCACCATCATAACCACGCAGTGAACTTGAGGTAGGACACGTCTCACCGGCCGAACCTTCCCGAAGTCGTGCAACATGAGGTCCAACACATGCGCGGCGCAATTCGTGAAGAAGACATGCGGAAATTCGGGTTTCAGCAACTCGGCCGCACGTTTGTTGTTGGACGCGTTGTCCATTACGACTTGGACGACGCGTTGGCCTCCCACCGTGCGGATCGAACCGCCAGGTACGCTCCGGTCTTCTTTGCAGTCTTCGAGTCAACGACGTCAACTATGACGGGTGCCGTATCGTTTTGCGCGATGACGCACACCATGCCTTGTGACTTCATGCACGTCCACCCGTCAACCAAGAGGGAGCACCCGCTCGTGTTCTAGCTGTCCTTGAGCGGCGTAACGAGGTCTTCCGTATCAGCCCTGAGTTTGGTAAGCAGCGGCCCCGAGACGCGGAAGGGGGTGGGGAGAGTGTAAGGCTTCGCGAAGTGGATGGCCACGTCAACAAACGCCTAGAGCGATTTCGACCCTGATACGTTGAACGCGAGATCGTTATCTGCCACCGCCGCACACCACAGGTAGTCTACGCGCCCGCGAGCAACATCATCCGTCATGTCGCGGATGTCACGTTGCCTATTACGACGTACGGGCTGAAGTGCAACCGAGGACGTGGAGGCACGGTTTTCACATTCTCCGGTAGAGGAACGTTCACGTTCGGCTTCCGCACGGAGTAGCTCAGCCTTGTCTGACTTGCACATCGTCACGTTCTTAAGCTTGTCTGAAGGAGTACCGTAAATATGATACCTAATACGTGTCGCGTTAGGAGTAACGACATTTCCGCAATGCTTGCATGTCGCACTAACAACGCTGTTGTTAGACTCCTTGATCACGTGCTTCCATTCGTCCGATAAAGGTCTCACCATGACCTTAACTGAGGTGAGAGAAAGCTAAGGCTAATCTGACGCTAGAATGTGTTTACTTGTTTCTACTGCTCGTATTAGTACCTTCGTGGGGTAAAGGGCTCTGCAATCATTGTCGAGTGGAATTTGGGGATGGGCTGATGAGGGTGGTGGAAAAGATGCAACTCTGATTGGCTGAAATGAGTTCGCATCGCGAAGGTTGGGTTGTCGCGCATGCAGGCGAAAAAAAAACTGAGGGCGCGAAAATGTGCAGCGACTACGCGAAATATTCAAACAATTGGTGTCAGTTCGCCAAAATGTTTGAATGTCGCGCCTCGGTAAATTGAATCGTTGCGCTTCGGCGAACTGCTAAAACTACAGAGCGAAACGGGTCAACAAATGTTGACCATTTCGCGAAATGTTCTAATGTCGCGCTTCGGGTACATGTCGAAATTCGCGCCTCGAAAAAACAAATCGCAAATGATTGGATTCGGGGGGACGAAATTCGGCCCCGAAGAATGACGGTTGGGAATTTCGTATTCCGCTAGTGAGTGACTCTGTTTTAAAATTTCGATCGTAAAAAACGACCGTATTTAAAACCAAACAAAAAAATAACATTTCAACTGCATTTTACCGTTTTATACGACCGTAAATTACGATACCGTTTTATACGGTGAATTATTAAAAAAACGACCGTCATTTTGATCCTTGGGTGTGATACAGTGTGTTATGATACAGTGTGGTATGATACAGTGTGGTATGATACAGTTTGGCATGTTACCATGCTGTGGTACGTGATGAGATACCTTGTGGTATGGCATGTGGATTGGTACCATATTGAGATGTGGTACACTGTACTATAATAGATTATGTCATGCCATTGCAGGGTATGCTGTAGTGTGGAATGCCTTAGTGTGGAATGAAATTGTGTTTTCTGTCATGGTGTGGCATGCCATGTTGCGAGATCTCATGGTATGGTGTGCCATCACGTGACAGGTCATTGCTTGGTATGTCCGAGTGTGGCATGCTATGGCATTCCGTGCCTTCGCCTGGTTTGGGTGTGGCATGGTGTGTCATGCCATGATGTGGTTTGGGGTGTGCCATGGTGTGGCATGCCTTGATGGCAACCGCAGGCAGGCAGCGGCTGGAGGCAAGTGAAGTAAGAGGCAAGGAAGACTGCATGGTGACACATGAGGAGAGGGGTAGATGAGGGGATATTTGTGCTATTCCTATTTGTTATGCATTAGGGAGAATGTAAAAAGGTGAACAGCAAACCTAAGTAAGTTCACTGTCCAACCTTGCGTTTTATGCTACCTACTCAAGTTGTGACTAAGCAGCCTCGAGTTCATTAACGTCACGTGGTCATACATTCAATTGATAGCGTAAATATGCAATACAATGTAACCAGACACGCTCAACAATAACTCACTACATCCTTTAGTGTCTGGAAGGTACCTGTTACGGGTGCAATGAATCGAAGTAGCGAGAATTGCACTAAGGTGTCAAACGAGTACAAAATGTGAGCGAAGGCATGAGCGAACATTTATACGCGAAACATGCAAACGGTAATGCGGTGTGTGCGAGCTAGCTAGTGCTACGCTGGAAGCGAGGCTCGGGCTAGTCCCGAAGCGTAGGCCGACACGGCCAGGCCAGCAGTGCGAGGTTTGGTGAAACAGTGCGCGCGAAGTCGGCGAAGCCCCGTTAGCAGTAACTGGCAAACAACGGCTGCTGCTGTACGCGATGTTGCAGGGTGCACTAAGGAATATCGAGAAAATTCCTTACACTACCACCCCCCTCAAGAAGCCCCCTCCGCTACGCGAGTGCGTGTATATCGCGGAAGCCCCGGCTCCTGAGGTACGCTTGCAGGGCAGGGTGGTTTTCGATGTTGGCTAGGGGCACCCAGTTGTTCTCAGTTGGCGTGCGATCCTTCCAGCGAACGAGGAATTCAATCCTCCTGATTCCCGTGGGGTGTCGAATCCGATGGCTCAGGATTTTTTCGGGCTCGATGATCGGCTCTGATGCAGGGCGAGTCATGGATGGCGAGCGATGGCGAGGCAGTTGGCTTGTGGTTGGGATGTATGGGCGAAGCAAGCTGACGTGGAACGAAGGGCTGATGTACTAGTCTGCCGGCAACAGTAGATGAGCTGTTACTGGGGTAATCATGTGGCTGATTTGGAATGGTCCACACTAGCGGGGTCGTAATTTCGGTACGATGGGCAGTCTTAAGTTTTGCGTGTCGAGCAGTACGTAATCTCCTGACTGGTACGTGACTGGGCGGCGGTGGCGGTCAGCGTTGCGCTTAGGGATGACGTTGGTTTTTTTAATCGCTTCTGCGGCTCTGGTACGGGCAGCCTGCAGAATTTCGGCGAATTGTTGTGCACGTGGTGTTGGGTTGTCCGGACTCGGCATCATGGGCACTGTAGGGTTTTGCCCATAGTTCAGATAGAAGGGGGACTGTTGCGTCGTCGTTGACGTGGCGTTGTTGTACGCAAACTCGATCAGCAGCAGCTGCTCCTCCCAAGTGGTTGGGTCGTCGCACGTGGCACGAATCAACTGCTCCATCGTCTGATTCGTCCGCTCCGTTTGACCGTCGGTCTCAGGGTGGTACGACGAGCTGAACTGTAGCCTTGACCCGAACTGCTCCCAGAGGTTCTTCCAGAGTTGCTGGTGAACTTCATGTCGCGGTCGCTAATTATTGCAGCTGGTATCCCGTGCAGTCGAACGACGGCTGTGATGAACAAGCGAGCGGTTTCTTCGGCCGAGATCGATTTCTTGCACGCAGCGAAGTGTGCCATCTTCGACAACCTGTCAACGATGACCATAACCACGTCGTTACCCCCAGGGTTTGAAGGTAACCCTGTGACGAAATCCATGGTAACATGCTGCCAGGCGCGCTCAGGCGGTGGAATCAGCTGCAACTGACCCACCTTTCTTTTTCGTGAGCGCTTCATCACCTGACACGTAGGACACGAGCCCACGTGGTGCTGTACGTCGGTCAACAGCTCCGGCCAGTAGTAATACCGCTGCAGTTGCTGTCGCGTTTTTTCTACCCCGAAATGTCCCGAGGTAATCCCGTCGTGTGCCTCTTGCAGTAACAGTTCCCTCAGTAGTGAATACGCGGGTACCCAGATGCGGTTGGTGCCTGTTTTTACGTAATAGACTCCTCTGGCCTCTGCCAGTTGCTGTGACTTTCCAATCATGAAAAATGGGTCGGTACTGTATCCGTGGGTGAATAGGCCTGTTAACAGTGGGTTGGTTTGGGCGAGTAGGATGGCGTGGAGTTGGGCGCTGGGGCGTGTGAGTGCGTCGGCGATGTTGGATGCGCCTTTTTTGTACGTGACCGTGTAGTGGAAATTGGACTCCAGATAGTCCAACCAGCGGATTTGTCGTGGGTTGAGATTCGGTTGGGCGCGGAGGTATTGTAGGGATCGGTGGTCTGTCCATACTGTCACGTCTGCTCCTGTGAGGTAACATCGCCACACCTTGAACGCATGCACGATCGCCAGCATCTCACGGTCGTGTATCGGGTAGTTGCGTTCGGGCGGGTGAAGCTTGCGGGACTCGTACGCGATTGGCTGAAGGCCGTTCCCGAAGTCATGCAATAGTACTGCTCCCACAGCGATGTCGCAAGCGTCAGTGACGAGCTCGAACGGACGGTGCGGATCTGCGATATGAAGCACGGGCGGTGAGCACAAAATAGTTTTGAGGGCCGAGAAGGCAGCTTGCTCTTTCTCCCCCCACGTGTACTCAACCCCCTTCCTCAGCAGGTTAGTCAACGGGGCAGTCAGCTTCGCAGTCAACGGGGCAGTCAGCTTCGCCATGTCGGGGACGAACCGGCGCACGTAGTTGACGAACCCTAGAAAACTCTGCAACTCGGTCAAGTTGGTCGATGCGTGCCACGTTTGAATCGTTGCGATCTTTTTCAGGTCTATTTCCACTCCTGCAGCTGAAATAATGTGTTCCAGAAACTCCAGTCGGTCCTGTAAAAACTCACACTTAGACGCTTTTGTCAGTAGGC